GAAATAAATTTTTTTTCTAATTTCCTGGGAGGAGAACAGTCGGAAGACTAGATTATGACAGCTAGGATAGGTTAAAGATGTCTTAGTACGGCAAACAAAGTTCTTTACCTCATTTATTTCGTTTTGTATTTGCAACGGTGGATCTGGTATGTTTCTCTCTTCCAACATGGTAATTAAATCTGTTATTAACAAATCACGTACAAACTATTTCATAATTTTCTTTTGATACTCTCGAAAAATGAACAGTTGCTTATGAGAAGAATGATTTCTTATACGTACGACCGCTGAATTGTTTATTCGGGATATATCTGCTCGTGCAATAGTATTTAATTTAAGAGTACTTGTCCCTTTTCTTTATATAAAAAGTACTGCTTCTTTTCTCACGTGAAAATGTACTTTCGGTGTCTGCTCAAACGATACCAGTGGAATGAGTCAAATGTAATAACAATCAATGCTTTCCGAACAATGTCGTTACATTTGTAAATATTTTCGGTTACGTGATGAACTCTGTTTGCATAGTTATACGACTTTGTGAAATACAAATAATGGACACTTTTCATTACTTCATAAGCAACAAACATGGAGAATGAAGATAGAGAATATGAGAATCGAAAACGCTACATTCTATGCCGATATTTTTATTCAGTGAAACTAGACGTTCTCGATATAAAATTATTTAAAAATATTCTGTTTAAAGAAAATTATCAATTTTAACATAAACATGTGAGTGTTTGATTTAGAAAATGATATAATATAAATACACAGATCGAATACAATTACTTGATAGTAGATAATAAAATTGATGTTCACACTCTTTCTGATACTGATATATACATTTAGTGAAATTAGACGTGTAAAAATGAATTTTTACACGAACATGAGTGATAAGAGTTCTAGAGCGCGTAATAGAAATACATAGAATTACAATTACATACTATATATGTACATAAAGTCAGCAATTATTTTATATCACAATAATTTAATAAAAATAATATTTTGCATCGTATTGCAATGCGTAGTCGCTGCTAATTTCATTTTCTCTAATACTGTTTCTTCAGTTAAACATATCTTTTAAAGTTTCACACACGTAGCGTTTCATTAACCATTTCGCATGGTGAGACATGTCATCTGTTTCCAAAACGTAATAAACGTTTTGGACTTTTGATTTTTATTTAACCAAATGAAAACTATATTTTTCATAAATGATCGTCATTTATTTTTTGCGGTAAAACAAGCGACGTTTCTCGTAAATATCTTTTTCACACTTTCACCAGGCATGAAATGTACTCTTTGTCGCAATGAGCATCTATAGGATTAAATAATGTCTCTCTCACGTGTGTAATACTAACGACAAAGTAAGTGAAAGGTTTTTTTTTCAAATATAATAGCAGGCAAATCGTACCTTTTCATGGAACAAAAAATATGTAAAAGTTTCTTATGCAGAGAAACTTTTTATTATATACTTACAAAAATCTATATATATTTCCTTAAATATATAAAAACCAGGAAATATATAATATTTCGCATATATCTGCGTTTTTATATGTATCTTTATATTTTATTTTTTTCATAAAAATTACCCTTTCTCTGCTTAAAAACCATTAAGAGTGCATAATATTTTACATATTACATCCGGTTTCTTTTCACAAAACTCACGCTTTCCTCCGCTTACACTTATATATATATGACGAGACATACTCTAGAACAGTGTACTTTTTTAGTACGTATATAAGTAGCGTTATACATAATCTTAACGTATGTAGATAGTAATATAGATTATATGTAAGTAAATTAAAATTATCTTATATGTTCTACATTAATGTGTTTGGTTTATTTTCTGCACTGGCCGCACTAGTTCACAGTCCGTCTTTTTCTTTCTACAATAATATGGATTTAAAAAAATGATAAACTGCGAACTAGTGCAGCCAGTGCAAGAAATAAAACAAACCTACAATGAAGCGCATAGATAGTGATATGTGTTAGACGTAATAAGGTCCATTATCTTATATTCTAAATTAGATGATGTGTTGTAAGTGGTAATAGTGTACAAAAAATCATGAGTAAATGGATTATAGAATGGAAACGCAATAGAAAAATATTCCCACACGAGTAGTCCGTTCAAAATGTCTTTATGGGTCCATTCGTAGTTGTTTACAATACGCTCGCAGTACTGTTCCAGATCTTGCATAACTTGCAAAACGCGGTGTACTTCAAAATAAAATATAGATGTGTTTTAATAAAACAAAATATATTTCGGCAGAAAGCGCAAAAAACATTCTTCGTTTACGTGTACTATAAAAATCGAATTACCTTTTATACCTTGAGCATTCTCCAATACCGCGTTCTGATCGATGTAAAATTCTATTTGGTTTAAAATGTTACTCAAGATTTGCAAATTTTTTATCGTAATCTTACAATTCGAAAACGAGTTTGAGAACAGCTTTATATTTTGAGACAGGTCAACAACACTAAGTGGTGGTATGTTTTCAAAACCTTGAAGACTGTAAAAGTAGAATTCAGTAAAATAATATTCATACACATGCTACAAATGTGCTACAAATTTGCGTGTGTGTATGTGTGTAGCATAGAAAATATGTGACGTACACCGTGTTACTGAAGAGCAAAAGAAGTCTGAAAGAATGTTGAACAAAATTCAAAGCTTGCAGAATAAATAAGCGATCCACGTCGTTATCGTAATCACAAGAATTACACCTGAACGACTCGAATTTTGTGACAGTACGTATTATTTTCTGCCACAAGTTTATGATAATCCAAAATTGATCAATGAAGATAAAATTGTGAAAGTGTTGGGTAATAAAATTTCGGAGAAAAACTTGAAAAAACCAGTGAAGCAATGCGGATATTAGACCGCGTATGTTGAAGAAACGTTCTAAAACGTTTGTTTCGTCTGGCAGTGTCACTTCGGACAATGAATAAACCAATGCTAATATTTCTATACACATATCATCTGCGAGAAGTTTGTTTTTTTAGTATTTGTATTGTTCGAACAAAAATGAAATCGTAATCAAATCGCTAAAATGAAGGATCCTAAGAATTACGGATTTACCTGTATTTTTCGGCGATGTTTGCATCAGAAGACGCAAAATACTAGGTTCCAACAAATAACGAAAGCGTGTCAAATGACACATCCATTCCGACGTGGCATCAAATTCGATCTCGTGTATTATCAAAGACAAAAGTTTGCACAGTGGTTTTTGCAACCGAAAATTGTTGCTACATTTACCAAAAGAGCAGAAAATAAAGTTAACAAGTTCTCTGTCTTGTTCTATCCTGTCGATAACTTTGTCAATGTGACACATACTTGCGATAATCTCCAATAGTTTATCCTATAAATTTATAATAAATGTGTAATATTCCTCGTGTCTTTTAAATTGATCTCGAGATTTAACAACAACACGTTCAAAATTGAACGCAGTACGAAACTAATAATCCACGAACGACACGATTAACAAATTGAGAAATGAAATTGCATTAATTTACGTAAGCAAACAACCTTGACGTACTGCGATGACTCTTTGTTCAATATACGTGCCGCTTTTGGAACCAATGTTTCATTGAGATACAGTTTTACATCCAGGTCACTGCTTAACTTCGACAACTTATACAGTTGTAATAATTTCATCTTTGTCATAGAAAACGTTGTCAAATACTCTAGTGCCTGAAATTGACATTGATTCGACAATTATGTTATAATGAAAATATGCCTAGTGAATATTTCTAAAAAAATTGAACATTTGGTCTCCTTACACATCATAGTTTGAAACAAAAAATATAATACATTGTAATGTAAGGCTGATTGGAGAAATAATAAAAAATATAGTTGAATTTTATTTTATCACAAGAGAGATGCAGAAAGAGAGCAAAGAAATTTATTAGTGGTAGATAATGTAAAGTTGGAATGTGCATAAGATTTTTTGTACCTTATCTACTGAATGTTTAACGGTTTCCGGCGGTTCTTCTATGAAATCTGTTTCGCTATTGTTTCTACTTATCGACGGCATGTGACTGATATTTGTAATAACAAAATCACGTGCAAATCACTTTTGTTCCGGAAGTATTTGTGAAAACATGTAGAAAACGTTGCTTGCAAAAAAGAAAGCGTTATCTTGTATGCACGACACGCATATAATTCAGAACTTGATAAACACAATTTATTCTGTTGCCGAGAATTTAACTAATATAATATTTTTATATATGTGAAATCTGTTGTGTGTGTGTGTGTGTGTGTGATTCAAGCATGATGAATGAACTTGTCCGTTTTTCTTATGTAAGAAAGTACTTTTCCTTTCTTTGCGTGTGCTGTGATGGTGACTGCTCAAACAACAACACTGACATGATATTCAAAATAAGGCGATAGACAAGCATTGGAGCTTTTTCAAATAAATTTCGTTATACGTTTAAACTTTTTCCGCGCTTACATCTAGCGAGATGGAGACACCGTCTATTTGCGTCGTCTGAATTTTTAAATAACATAACATTGATATTTTATTATTTTTAAGAAAGTTGTTCTGCATGTAAATAAACAAAAAGTAAATACAGAGAATAAACTTTTCGAACGAGACTTACGAAAAAATTGAGAGTTGAGGGAAAAATCACGCAGTATGTATTTAGCAGTTGATATTTTACATATAAACAGAAAAATATATATTTTCAGATATAGTTACATCTGTAAACAACGGACTTCGTCCAATGACAAATTTTATCGTCGTCAGAACAACAGCAATTTTGCTGCAAAATCTGTCAATTTCAAAATCGTCACCACATTGACGGCAGCTAAAGTTCATCATTTCCCACGGATGTAACAATGGATTGTTGACAAAGAACTAAATTCTAGTTTTTACTATCTAACAACTGCTATCGAAATGCACGTAATAAATTATAAGATACAATATTAGTAGAGACCGTGCGAGTCTGCCTACTAGTACAACTTTGTTTTTAATCTAAAAATTTGTTTTTATTTTCTAGTTTGTATGTACAAATGCTAATTTATACATCTTCATAATTTATCAAGAAAAAGTTGCCTCGATTGTAGACAATTTCTTCTCTATCTCTCTTGGTAGCTCGAGAATATTCCGTATATCATCTCCTAAACATTTACACTGAAGTAATAACTCCATGAGATGTTTTACACTCGAATTAGTTAAATAATTCTTTAAGTACTGTTTAAGGCTTTGTACGCATCTACACATGTTTGGCAGCATATCTTGCGTGTACGGTAGCATATCTTACACACATATTTCGTTATAAATAACAAAATAAGATTTTATTACTTGTGATATAAGATTGAATTTGTTGTATACCTGAATTTATGTGACTCCAATCTAGTTCTTTCGTATCTTTTAAAATGTCAATGTTTTGCATGTTTTTTAAAATTTTAACTATGACTATCACGGTTCCCGACAGATTTTTGCCGCTTGGAAAGCTTGACAATAACATTATACTTTTGCAAAAAGTATTAGCAGCACTTCGCAATGACGTTGAAAGAAAGATTTCACGATCCTTATCCTGCGGGCTGTAAAAGTGGCGAATTTAGTTTGTAGATGTAGCATTTGTATAAAAACTGTGTATAACAAAAAAAAAAGAAAATATTACATACGGGTACTTGGAGGCTAAAGTAAAAATGTTTTCATAATTACGTAGTACAACAGTTATGGCTCTGAGTATTGCTACGCTCTTTATGTCATCCTCGAACTTCCGATCATATCTGAACGACTTTAATTTCTTAATTACAGTCATCAATATCAGCCACTTTTCCATCATGTGCCAACGATCTTGATCAATTATTTGTTCGTAACTGTCAGTATCATCGGCAAAAACACTAGAAAACCACCTCAATAATACAAACACTAAGTCATCTATTTTAAATAGACGTTCTAAGATGTTGGTACCGTCTGGCATCTCGATTTCGGATAATGTTTCGAGCATCAATATACTTTCTCTAAGTAGCTCGGCTGCAACAAATTTTTCACGTTTCTCTTTTTTTTTCTTTTTACCGAGGGATGTAAACAGAAAATGAAATTAAACGATATAAAAGAAAAATTGTTTGCAACTTGTACGGTATGTTTTTTTACCTGGCGTAAATGATGTAAAATCAATTAAAATTGTCATTATATTAATTCCTAAGAAATAAGAAGGATTCGTCAAGTGGTCTATCCAACTTGATGAATTAAGATTTGATTGGATCTCGCACGTTATTAAGGTAAGAAATTTGAAAAGATTGATTTGCAACTTTAAATTATCTTTGCATTTACCAAAATATCGGAAAATGAATGCAACAATGTTTGTACATTTGCTTATCACCTCGATGGCTTCATCAATGTGACACACGCTTATAATGACATCCAATAGTTTTACCTACAAATATGTTTTACATGACTTTTAAAGTAAACAATCGAGATCCAACAGGAAGGATATGAAATTTGTAATAATGAAATAAATAATTGTATTAGCGTGAAAGATAATGGTTTTACATAGTTTTATCGTACAACCTTAACGTCGATGTGCCCGTCGAATGGTGCCTGCATCTTGGTTATACATGCCACTTCGGGCGATGTAATAAAGACTTTCAACAGAAATAGTTTGCCATCCAACGATTTGCTTATTTCTAATAACTCGTTCAAAAGAAATAAGTTTGTATACGTCATATATGGATAGTTTTTTATATATATTTTTGCCTAAAGTTGTTTAATTGTTAAGCATGTTTATCAAATATTTGAATTAATAGAACTATTCTACTGACAGTAAAAAGTAGGTGTGTGCGTATGTGTGTGTGTATAACATGCATGAAGAACATTAGTATGATATTGTTCATTGTTACATAGCAGATGTATTCTAAGAGTTTTCTCTTTTACGTTTATATTTATAGCCACGATTTATTTATTTATTTTTTATATAATTTTGCACACAGTTCGCGAAGAAATTGCATGCTGTCAAAAACTCTGTCTATTTAAAATTGCGGTGTATTTTGCACACAAGTGAATTGTAAGATAAAAATAAGATAAAAGATATCTACATCGTTTATACTGAGAAAGATATATATATATGTATATATTTGTTGTATTACTATTTTTGTTTTTAATTATAAGTATAAAAAAAAATCTTGTACTGTCGCTGTGCTTTTAAATTTGTGAATAGATATTTGAGAAGAGTCATATTATATAATAAAACTTACAAGTTTAACGATTTTGAGTGGTTTAAGCATATTTTCGTTCAAGCTTTCCAAAATCTCAACAAAAGTAGTGTAGAAAACCAAACAAACAGGCCAACGAGGATATCAACGATTTCACTCTGCAAATCGTCCGAAATTCTTATGATCTCACCTTCATCAATAGAGATTGTAAATAGAATCACTATCAGAATCTGATAATCACTCGTGCTATTAACTACATTATGGCGTGTGCATGTTATTTCAACATAGTATTCATTATTTTCGAGATTAATTAAAATAAATTATCAGAAGTACATCGACATAATTATTTTATTTTATTCAATTTACAACTTGAGAATGGTGTCATTTATTTTGTCTTAATTTATTTATCGCATAACACACGGATACGTACGGTGGATTCGCAACTTCAACACTCTTGTTTACTAATTCTAATTAACCTCTCACGAACAAAACCGTCTAAGCACGTGTTCGCAAAGGATTAAATTACTGAAGTATAAATACCACACAAAAGTGTATAAATATACTATTTATATATTGCGATGTGTTGCTCACAGTTTCTAACTTGTGCATTGAAACAAATACATTAATATATTTTCTCCAAGATAAAGAGCAAAATCTATACTTGCTCTATTTATTACATTGCCAGAAGTGTTTATTTTCAAAAAAATTTATTTTCACAAAAATACGAAGAATATATGCGGTATTTTATATTTGAATAAAGTTCTCTGCAAAAAAATATGTACGCGCGTACGTATATAAACTTTGTAAAACTCACGTTTTGTGATTAATTGATCAACATCAGTACGCACACGTGTCGCGTTATAAAGGCGCAAACTCGAAACGTGACTTGACCAGACTTTTCCATCTCGAGTCGAACTCACGACTAGTACATAGCGCCAGCTGGCGGCACGAAGATCTTTCAATAGCAGCAGCTGTGCGGCGACAGCCCGTCCCACCCGTTCTCGTCAGACGTTCGCGCGCAAACTGCGCGGTGTGTTTCGTGCCGTGTGTGTTCGGTATGAATAATTTGTTTCTCTTATCCGCCGGTGTCGAGACGTATTAAAGAAGGTTTATATTCGGCATCTCAACGGCAGTGCGACGAGAACCCGGTCACAGAATGGAGAACGTTTCCATGTCCAAGGTAAGCGATACGCGGCGGCGTGCAACCTGTTGCTCGCCAGCCTCGCGCTGGCTTAACCTCAAAAGAAAGAAGCGCGAAATTCACGGCACACGGTGCGACAACAATTCTTCTGTCTGTCGTCATTTGCTATATAGGAATGTTACTTGAGAAGCGCGACCGCATTTATTTGCCGAGAGAATCGACGCTCTCTCTCGTGCAACATTTAAGTTGTGACGAATTCTGCGAAGCATTTCTGACGTGATTTAAATTTGAGAATTTCTGGAATGTGTGTGCGCGCGTGTGAATCTAATGACGTTTCATAATGAGTTGTATTTATTTACGTTCCGCAATACTCGACAATTCCGTGCTGTATCTACGAAACGTTATGGAATGTTGGAAAATATATATTAAAAAAACATTTAACGCGTTTATATTTGCAATTTCTATTTAAACAACATTGACATCAACATAACGGAATTTGAGATTGTTTACGTTCACATTGTACGCAACATTAGAACTACATATTTGAAAGCATGTTCTAAAGCTAGTATCGCAATAACGTTGTGTTAATTAAGAATTGAGATCGCGCATTAAATTCTAAAGCAAGAGGAAATTTTACATGTGTAATGTGTTTAACGCCAACAGAAAATTGGCGCGTAACGTAAAACTGATCGCAATTTGTAGGGAATATTTGCTTACAAAGGGCGTTACAAAATCGGTAAGAAGAAAAATAAAGTTCAACGACCGAGCTACGTTAACGAACCGTGGTACGTCGCGTACAGTGAAACGTGGAAACACATCGAGGAGGCTGCAGAGGTATATACCTGGATTGTGTGCAGTTTTATTTTATTTATAAATCTGTGCTTGTATAGGAACAAAACTATCTACCAAAAATACTGTTAATATTTTAGAACGTCAGGTCAAGAATATTTCAACAAGTCGTGTCCAACGTGGTAGATTTCGTTGAAAAAGTAAAAGCGTCACCGTCAGATGCGACGTCTCACGAAATAGCCACGGCCATTTTGTTAACAGGTCAGACGACGTTAAAAACTGCAATTTGTTTTCGTTGAGGAAAAACGAAATCTTTTATCTCTACAGTTACTTTTTTCCATGGTTGTTTTTTTTTGTTTTTTTTTTTGTTAAAGCGATAGTTTTTCTCTGTATTATTTCTAAACCATTTCTAGACCAGACTGAGAAGTAAATTGAGTTTTATTTCATTGAAAACAAAATGTTTTGTTTTTCTTTAGCTAAGTAAATTTGCAAGTTGCATGCGAAATGTCTGTAAACAAAAACACGTTACACACGAGTGAAATTCTACGCAGGCGTTAACGTTCCCGATCATACGACACTCTTTAACACGACGATCACCAGACTCGACAAGATCACGCCGCACATAGCCATGTTGTGGAGCAGAAATTGCAACAATCTGAAGAGCACTATCGAGGACGCTGTGTATCAACTTATCCACAAAGCAGAATCGGCGGTTAGTTTCGACGATGCAACAACGAATCTCTTGCGCAAAAGGAAATTTTCGATTCACTCTCTTGTCGTTATCGTAGGATGACGCTCCCAAAGTGCGCAAAAGTCAGTGCACAATGCGAACGTTGAGGGAATGGTTCGCGGACAATCACGATCCGGAGGATCCCTTGGTTCTTATCTTACCGGATTTCGAAAGCTTCTCCACTGATGTTTTGCACGATTTTATCCTGGTGCTGAGGTATCGCGACAATATTTCCGCGTTCCGTTCCAAATGCAAACGCACCGTGCGGAGAATTTTCACAATTCTTGAAAATTATTTAAATTCAGCGACTGAAAAAAATGATTTTCTAATCGCAATTTATTTTCAGCTCGTACAGAAACGCATTGAAATTTGTGCTCGTATTCGGTGTCGCAACTTCGTTGCACGTAGTTCACAGATCGTTGACGTACGACGTCACATCGAAATTAGTGGTGCAGGCAAGTTCGGAAAAATTTGAAACATTCTCTTCCGCCCCACATATGATGTATATTCGCGCAAATCATTCTGTATCGTTCGTTTAGGTGTTCTCCACCCAGACGCAAGTGACGACGCTATCCGACGTATTGGAAAGCACCGTTTTCTCGTCGGAGATTCCGTTCAAATTGATCGGTCGCGCGTTTCAACTGCTGACCGACATTTTTCTGTTTTACGATTTTTCGGTAGACAATTTCTTGCAGCATTACAAGGTGAACAGAGACAAAACCTTCGTAAAAAAAAAAAAAAAACACGACCGACTGATGTTTATGATAAATTTAATCTCCGATTTCAGTTGTGCATGATACAACATTTCTACGACAACAACGCGAGTTATCTTTGTTGCAAACCGAAAGACATCGGGGAGAGAATTTCGAAACTCACGGACGAAGATATCGCGGACATTAGAAGCTTGCCGTCTGTCGCGGAATATTTAAAGACCAAATTAAAGGACGGCGATAATATCGATAATTGCAAATTCAAGGTTTTTCTATTTGTTGTCGACAATAGCAAGATTTCCAAAAATTACTAGACGTCCAATAATAACACAGCCACACAAAAAAAAAAA